AACCATCCCTCTCAGAGGACTGTCCAGCTGCATCTTGAATGCCTCTAGTGTGGGAGAGCCCACAACCTCCTTAGGTCATTGGTTCCATTGTTGCACTGCTCCAACAGTCCAGAGGTTTTCCTGATATATAGCCGGAATCTGGATTCCTGTAACTTGAGCTTATTATTCTGTGTCCTGCACTCTGGGATGATCGAGAAAAGATGCTGACCTTCATCTTGGTGACCTTTCAAGTACTTGTAGTGCTATCCGATCTCCCCTTTTCACATTCAACTTCATTCATCTGTTCTGCCTTTTATGTAAATGATTAAAGATTTTGGATATTTATTTGGTTATTCTGTTAACTGGTCAAAGTAGCTGCTGCTGTGAACTGTGTGCATATGGCATGAATACCGAGAGCCACTGTGGTGGTTAGAGTGCTGGACTGGGGACCTGGGAGATCCAGGTTCTAGTCCCCATTCAGCCATGAAGCTCATTTGGTGATTTTTAGGCCAGTCATAGAATCATAGAATAGTACAACTGGAAGGGGGCATGAAGGCCATCAGGTCCAACTCCCTGCTGTTGCCGGACACCAAGTCACACCATCCCACTAAGATGGCCATCCAGCCTCTTTTTGACTATCTCCAGTGTGGGAGAGCCCAGCACCTCTCTAGGCAGCTGGTTCCACTGTCGTATCGCTCTGACGGCGAGGAAACATTTCCTGGTGTCCAGCCTGAATCTGGGTTGTTGCAACTTGAATTTATGTTCACAGATGCTCAGCTCAACCTGCCTCACAGGGTAGCTGTTGTAAGGATAAAACAGAGCTATGTAAGCTGCCATGGGTTCCTCACAAGAGGAAAAAAGTAGGACATAAAATAATGCCATGTAGTAGTAATAATAGTGGTTGGCTGTGTTTAAAGCTGCATCCTTCTTGTATGGCTGCAGTGAAGTTCCAAAGCATGGAACATGCCTTTCAGTAGTGGTGGTGTAGGCATTCCTCACCCAATTATCCGGGGGGGGGGGTGATGTTCCCATCCCTCACACATGCCCCCATGCATCAGTTCAACAGATGCACAGGTGCTGTCAGCTACAGGTCTAATACAATGAGATACTGACGTCCTTTCATGCTCTGTCTCATTAACTCTCTGAGCAGCTTGTAGATATGTCCTCCTGCCACCTCAGTGGTGGTCACCAAGTGCCTGGCTAGTTGGACCTGGTTGGGTTTGTGCTTGTTATGCAGATGCACCACACAACGAGTGTGGCTGAGCAGCAGCAGCTCCTCTTCCAGAGTGTCAGCAGTAGTCCCTCCCAGTAATGCCCTGGGAACATCTTCATGTATCAGAGGCTGTTGCCTGAAAGCTGCAGCTATTCTCTCAAGTTTACTACCCAATGACCTTCCTTGCAGGAAATCTTCTGGACTTGGCAAAGAGATGCTCTAGATGGAGGGGAGAGGGCAGTGATTGTGAACACTTCTCCACCTGACTCAGGTCTGGAATAAGTGCCACCTCGTGCTTGCATTCAAGCTGCAGCCCCTCATGACAGGGACTGCATCATGCAATGGTCCAGGTTATACACATTGTGTTGGGGGGCTGTTGTGTCCCCTCCCTCCAGAGAAGAGCATCTAAGGGAAAAGGTGTCTGTCCCATGAGCTCCTCCTCTCTAACCTCCACTGTTTCCATTAGCAGATGAAATTCTGATGGAATAGTGCTCCATGATGCTTCCCAAATGGCATTACCTGATCTTTTAGTTGATTCTGCAGAAACACCCTGCCTGGCATCCCTCCTCTGTTCAAAATGTGTGAAATAGATGGCAGATGGGATTTGTTCCGGCAGCTCTGGCATACTGGATAATGGCTACAGTGTTGTATGAGGTTCCTCATGTCTGGCTGGGCCTTGAGTAAAGCTGAAAGAACCACTGGTTTCAATCTTACAGCACTGCATAGGCTGGTATTTGGCTTGTGGGGGTGGCTAAGTGGAATGTTGCTGCCAGTTGTATAACCAGGAGTGATGTTGCTCTACTCAGTCAGAATGGAGACCAGCTTGTCAGAGAAAGGCATTGGGCACAGATCTATCCCACTTCACTTGTTATGAGTCACTTGTTATGAGTCCTTAAACTTATTTGGGGCTTGCATTGTTTCCTTATGCTGCATGGGCCATGCATCTGAAAATCTGAAGCAGCAGCTACTCAGGGAGCCAAAGAAAATGTCTCTGTGCTTGGTGGATGCTGGGGATGTTGCGCATGTCTGGGCTGCCTGAGAGACTCAAATGTGCCCATTTCGACCTCACCCCAGCAATGCAGTGCAATCTCACGTGTGGAATCACTCGCCTTGGCCGCTGTCTCTGCTCCTTGAGCAGAATCCTGCAGGGCCAGGGCAGATTAGGTGCTGGGAGAACCAGTCTGTGGGCTCCATGGCTGCAACTGCCCTAAGAAAGGCACCTTGGAGTTCAAAACAAGTGCAACCCAGGTGGGCATGGATAGAAACCAAGTAGCTCAGGGAACGTGACATCGTGTAGTGCGAACAATGGCAGCAGAAGGACTCTCAGGGGAGGGGCAGGGCTCCCTATCAGTTGAACTGTGGGAACCGTCAGGGGAGCAGGTACAGCAGCAAAAAATGCAAGTGAAGTGCTCACACATTTCTCAAGGGGGACTAACAACATCAGTGTTCATTTTCTTCAAGGGTTTGTTTCAAGAACTGTCTGGAAAAGAGTGCAGAGCGGGGAGAGAAACTCCAGACTGCTACATTTAGCAGGAAAACAAGTTCCTTCAGGGCCAGTGGGCAGATAACATGCAGCTTGCAAAAGCAAAGGAAAAGACCTTGGCAAAAAGTGAAGAGGGAAAGGAACATGAGTGCTGGTAGGCATGTCTTGTGAATGGTGACAGCAGGCGTGTGATGCTGCAGTGCAATCAGCTGCTGGAGTGAGTTAAAGGAGGGCAGGTTCAGGCAACAGTTCAATCTACTGCTAGGCAGAGTTTGGGAAGCTAGTTCTGCTGTACAAATGGGAACAGATATTGGGGGGGGGGGTGCCAATCTGCTATTATTAGCAGATTAGCAATCTGCCAATCATTAGCAGATTGTCTCAAGGAACAAAGAAATTACCATCTGGTTTGGGGTGACATACTACATCACAATAAACTGTACAACAAGTGTGTCCCTACAACAAGGGTAGCTTATAAATCTCAGAGCACACTGTAGAGTGTAGCAGGTTTGGAAAATATGCTGACTACAAAGTCATGCGACCTAGTGTGTTATGTGAACTAGGCTCTGTATAAAGCAATATAAGCCCTAACATCACAAACCAGTCAACACCATAACATTGTTAATACATGATCATGAATATGATATTTGACCATTCAAATATGCAGAGTCACTGCCTATTTGAAACTTGGGCAGGAGATCAAAAGAAGCTTCCAAATACCTTTGAAGAAGAGATTCAGACATGGGAAATGCGGATTCATAGCTTAAAGATATTACAGGAATTTCTCACAACATTGGGACTTTTACAAGCATATTTTAATCAACTTTTCACACTGTTTATATTATCCTGCTGTATCTTTGTTTCCTCGTTCCCCATTGGATGCTTCATTATGAAATTTGCACAGAAGAGCCAGCACAGTCTGTATGGTAGCTGCAATGCCACACCAGGACTGGGCTGACCCAGCTTCTAGGCCAGTCATCTAGCCTAAATCACAGGATTCTTCTTGGAGGAAAGGCAGGATATAAAAATAAATAAACCAAGCATGAATGATAGGCAATTTGAAAAGCAATCCACCCAAACTCTGAGCTGTATGATGTAAACTGGAGACAGTCAAAGCTCTAGTCTCAGATTTTTCTCAAGATTTTTAGAAACTTGTTCTTTATTCTCTATTTCTGCTTTTAACCCCTACCAATACTTGATTACAAAACTATAACACTCGCATCTCTTTTCCTTGAATTACTTTTTACTCATTAGTTCACATTTTACTGCTCGTTGCTAAGCAACATGCATAACATTAAGACATACATTCATTTATCTCAGAACACTTTCTATTTCCCATATGTACTATTCTACTTCAAGCTTTTTACACATTTGAATTTACTATGCTTCCAATGTCTATTTCCTTCCTCTTGAGTATCTATATTTTTTCTTTCCACTTTTCTACCCTCAATAATTTCCAAATTATCTATACCAGGGGTCTCAAACTCAACTTACCTGGGGGCCGCTGGATGTAGACTCTGGGTGAGGCTGGGCCGCATCAAGTATTCCACCACCGCGGTGGTGGTGGGCCGCTCATCCAGCGGCCAGCCCGGGCGCCGCTGGCACTTTGAAGGCCGCAGGGCCCCTCCCCTGTGCCCCGCCTGTCCCGGCAATTGGCCCGCGGGCCGCGAGTTTGAGACCCCTGATCTATACTGACTAACATGTCCTTAAACACGCTCTCCATCATGTTGAGGGCACAGATATCACTTAACTCCTTTCCCAATCATCTACTCCTCCTTTCTTTCTCCTGACCCCAACATCCAAGAAGCGACTGAAAGAATGACACAACACCTTTTCCAATTGTGTAACAAAGAACTGTCTTGCTCAAGTAGATTGCTAACCTATGGTTTATTCAACCCATTCTTAGGTAATCATTTGTTGCCCTAACCAGAGCAACAAACTGAACTAATAGACAAGCAAGCTGTAGAAGACTGAACATACTGGTTTCTCAGTCCCTGGGTTGTTTGTTTTCCTCCACCTTCACTTGCCCCCCAAATATAGTTGCAGCACTGTAGCACTGGCATCCAGAGTGGCTACACAGTAGTCTGTCAAAACAATCCATGAACAACCTATGATTCTGGGTTCATTTAGAAATGACAGCCTATGATTTAAATAATCCAATGTCCAACAATAATCCATGGGGTCTCACGCCAGATAGTTTGTTGTAAACAAGCCATAGTTTGTTAGCATGATGGATCTGTGCATCAAAACAACCCAGAATTCATAAGCAGAATTAAACCATCTGCTATGTCTTGAAGAGTTAGGATGACTATTATACTACTTTGTTGCCACTCCTGGAAAAAAAAAAAAAGCTATAGCTGTGTTAATATCACCCAGGGCTTTGAACTGTGAAAAGTCCCAGAACATTCTGAAAAATCACTGCAGTTGCTGGTAACATCTGGCATTAACCTATTCATACAAGGTAGCTGCTACTTACCAAATCTGGGTTGCCTTGGGACAACAGAAGGGAAGCATGCTATGCTTTCTGCTATCAGCCAAGGAACAAAGGACAACTGGGAGACTGTACCCCCTGCATTCCAGGAATGACATCAAGCCAAGGAGTAGACCAACCTGGTCCATCCATAAGCCAGAGAAGGAGAAGTTACATGGCTGTGTTTCCCCCTCCCTGTCAGAATGAATGCTTGGTTCTTGCTGACAGTTGTTCTGGGACTGTGGAAGAGAAAAATCACTTTGTCCAAGGGCCAAACAGTCACCAATTATTAGTCAAGCAAGAACATAAGAGAAAATCAGACTGGCTTAGAGTGCATTTAAATACCCACTTATACCTCACCACTTTATGCCACCTTAAAGGTTGATCTCCCTCCTCTTCCTTTAACCTCCATTCCCCTTCCCTTGTGTTAATCCATTAGCTAGCAGTTTGTAAGTCTGAAAGCAGGGCCTTTCTTTCTCTTTTTTAACCAATATGAACTGCTTTGGGATACATGCCATATCAGAAAAAGGGGCGAAAATAACCAAATAACTACATAAATAAGGCAGTTGGACACACACAAACATCAAAACAGTGTAAGTTCTGCCCCACTAGCCCAACATGTGTGACCAAGAAAAGGAAGGCTGGTTGGTGCTACAGAAGAAGGAGCAGGTGTTGATTTGAAAAAGCTGGGACTTTTGGCAGAGAGCTTTAGTTCCAAAACCAATAGTGCCCTGGAGTGTGCACTTTAACTTTATGCTACCAATATATATCATGAACCGTCTCATTTTCTTAAGTAGCAGTCCTTATATAGCCAAAAAAATCTCCAGCAACACAAAAGATGGAAGCATAAGCAGGCATGGAGGAACCTCAGTACAAAAACCGCTTTAGAAAAAATATAAACTTTTCAGCCACTGAACATGCTGCATGGCCATGAAATGCTGACCGTTGCAAGAGGGTGAAAAATGGAGAGGGGGATGTAGTGGAGCGGCAGGAAACTGGACAGCAGGACTCTATGCTGCAACGTTCCACTTGTATAACTGGACAGTTCTCAGACCCTTCAGGGGAGGGACAGAGTGAGAGACACTGCTGCAGATAAGGCAACACTTCCACACTAGACACACTGTGAGCTAACCTACAATGACAGAGAGCCTGCAGAGGGAGCAGTGTGGCAGGGGACAGTTACTGTATTGCTATATTACTGCTTATAACTTGAGTTGCTCGCCCCCGCAAAAGCCAGAGTCTTAGCTTCACATATCACAGACACCTGAGAGATGGAGCATCCCTGAGTTGTTTAGTGAAGGAGGGAGCAGAAAGTAGATTTTCAGAAGTCTGGACTCCCAGAAATCCCTGCCAACATGACCAAAGATCAGAAATGCTGGAATTGTGCTGGAAAACACCAGGAGATATACTTTCTCCCTTTTGACCCAGTTCTAATATTCTGTGATTCCATCATAAGAATCCTCCCACCCAATTTAGCCTAACAGAAGGTGAGCAGCTGAGAGCCAGCATGCTCACTCTTGTGTGCTCATAAACAATACGTGGCTAACAAATCACAGGTTGCTTCATTCTGTGAACCAAGTCACTGGATCACCCACAGCCCACTGAGGGCTCATTACTCATCACTTATCAATATGCAAGCCCCAGCCAGAGCTGCAGTTGCCATTCCTGTCATCTGACCTTAACTCATGGAAGGCTGACATATCATCTGCACCGGGTTATGTCAAAACTGGAAAATGTGGTTATATTAACTATAGTTTAATGAAACAACCTAAGATTATGACAATGTTTAAAGTTGCATTGTTTCAATAAACCACAGTTAAAACTAATCACAATTTGCCCCAGTTCTAACTTAACAAAAATCTCAGTTAGTTGATAAGTAAAAGTAAAAGCTTATCTTTTCCTTGCAGCCATGCCAAAAGAGGTGAGGAGGGAGTGCATGAATCCAAGGATTATACATATAACACAAAATAATGACATCATGTTACATGCAAATACAGACAGTAAGCACCCTGCTATGCTGACTGAAACCAGTACTTTGAAAACATAAGACTAAACAGGCAAGGGCAGAAGGACAAGCTGGATAATTAAATGCTTGTTAGTTAAAATGCATTCATGACCTTTTATTGACTGGGCCAACCTGAATTTAGCATCCAACTATGAGGATCACAGTATTGGTATTACAGAGAATGATTTTTGTATCCCCTTGCATGTGGTAGCCAGCAGAAAAAGTGGCAAATAACAACCATTTAGCTTATAGCTCAAAATCATATCTTAATGCTCAGTGAGTATTTTACATTCATTAAATCCTATCAAAAGAGCATCATTGCTGTCACCAGCACAACTCAAAACATGTATGTTTACATTTTAGAGGATAGACATTGCACAAATTGATTTGTACTTGCTAATAAGAATTACCCAGGACATTTTGGTATAGCATGCAGTGTTTTTTCTATAATTATGAGGCATTTGGAATGACTGGCACACAAATACTATCATTTAACTAAGAAAATAAAAATGAACAATATGGTACAGAGTTAACCATAGAAGAACTAAAGGAAAATACCCATTTCAACATATTAGATAAATCAGCAAAAACTAGCAGCTGGGAAATGATCTACTGACCTAGTTTGCTTGCAATACCAATCTACAGCTTAACCCAACAACCTGGGTTAAGTCTGAACTGTTAAATCATGGGTTCTGGCACCATACTAACATCATTTGAACAGTGCAAGAGGAGGTTTTAAATGACAGTAGAAGTGAGGAATGAACTGGATGTACCACCCTCACTCACTTCCACTAGCCCCTACCAATTTGTGGATTAAATAATCCATGAATCCGTGTTAGGTACAAAATGGGTCATTGAGACACATTCGTTTTTCTTCAGAAAACATATCAATGCTGCATTATTTGTCCACTGCATTATTTATTTCCCTTCCTCGCCTCCAGCTACCCCCAAACCTGAATGCCCCCCAGATCTGCTCTGGAAGGTACACCAACACTTTGGAGCAGATCTCGGTCACATGCAGGTGGTTACAGAGTTAAGGGGAACTTCCATCCTCCAGCAATTTAGTCTGGCAGAAGGGTGACATTGGATACTACCAGTTCTCTGAACCTTAAAGAATGCAACACATATAAAAAGAGATGGTACAAACACTGGATACAAGCATTTATGAATTTATTTATTTATGACACTTGTATGCCCCCCATAGCCCAAGGGCTCTCTGTGCTGCTCACAAAGACAACTTTATACAAAATAAAAATTTTAAAAATCCATCTTAAAAGGGATAATTAATATGGAAACAGGAGACAACGAGCATGGCAAAATAAAGGCAAGCTGTAAGAAAAACAAATGAAACTATAATTACACTAAAAACAGGTACGAAATAAAAATGTCTTCACCTGGCAACAGAAGCTAAACAATGAGGGTGCCAGTGAGGCCTCCTTAGGAAGGCCATTCAAAAGGCAAGGGGCAATAACAGAAAAGGCTCTTTTCCTTGTTATTTCCCCCTTTGCTTCATTTGTGGGGGCTTGCATAGAAAAACCTCCATAAAAGATCTTAATGGTAGGGACACATGGAGACAGGAGTTCCTTCAGAGAAGTTTACAAAGTTCTTTAAATTAATGAAAGTGTATTAATACAATACCTGCTAAAAAATCTGCTTGATTTTACAAGCAGACACAGCCTATAAACTTTAGACTTATTTACCTTCTGTATTGTATGCAAGATTCAGCTTGTACAAATTCTTCAATAGGAAAGAAAATGGATAATAATGCTGGAAAAATAAGAATTCTAATATTCCATTCTATTTACATGATCCACCAATTTTGATGTAATATACATCTACCCAAGAGCACTTAAAATTAAAAAGAATGACATTTAATCCATGTAAAGAAGAGTAACCAGTAGGAGGACTTGACAAGAACGGTACTGGAAGACAAGCTCTCCCAAGTCACAGGTTTCTCAGTTGTGACTATGTTGGGTTTTATCTTTAATGGAACAAGACTCAGCCAAGAAAAATATATATATCAGTACTTACTATAAAGATAGTTTAGTCAAGCGGACATATAAAGAGGGAAGTAAGAAGATATCATAGGGTCTTATTAAGAGATAGCTGGTTGGGTTAGGTTACACAGAAATTGAAAGGAGAGGATTCTTCTTTACCTGAATTTTGGGAGGAAAACTGAGAGGTGGGCAAAAATGAAATGCTTAAGGAATTCATTCTTATGTATGTATGTATGTATTTATTTATTTAAAACATTTCTATGCCGCCCCCATCGCAACAAAGCCTTGGGGTGGCTGACAACATTCATAAAAAGATACAATTAATAATTTAAAAACTGGTACCATCTCGGCTATATAAATTAAAATCTATAAATACAATAATAATAAATTAACAGGTAAAACAACTTTTAAATAAAAAGGTCTTCGCCTGGCGCCGAAAATAATGACGGTGCCAGGCGGACCTCTCTGGGGAGTGCATTCCATAGGTGGGGATCCATTGGTATTTAAAACCACAACATGACAATCACAGTTTATATTTGAAATATCACAGTTTTAATACATCGGTAAAATCTAAATATTTGCATTTACGTATGCTGATCAAATTTGGAAGGGAAAAAAGTACTGATTTGCACCTATCTTTGAACAGCAACTTCCCATCACAATATCCTTTTTAAAACTATCCTGTTTAAAAGTGCAGTTTCAAAAATGATTTACTAGATGACCAAAGGGGCTGCTCATCAAGAAACAACAAACACTAAGTACCCAAGGGTATAGTTGCATGGTTCTTTGAATCCCAGGCAGTGTCAATGTATTATAAACTATATACTGCAATGGAGAAAGCAGTATGGAAGCATTATCAGTACAGATTATGGGAAGTGATTGCTGAACAAGCTTCCAAAATATTTAGTTCAGTTATACAGCTTGCCATTTTGCACAAGCAACACTTCCTTGCTTTTCATTACAAGTCCCTTGTGAAATAATAGGCAGTCCCACAGGTATCAAAGCAACATATCAAATACACTGGATTTAAATTGCAAGGCCTATTTTGTCCAGCTAGAGGATAGCACTTTTGGAATCACTGTTATAAAAGCATAAGAAGTCATCCTGGCTCAGACCAAGATGCCATCTAGTCTTGCAGTCTGTTCTCAGCATGGCCAAACGGCTGCCCAACTGAAGCTCACGTGTAAGACTTGAGTATGGTAGCACCCCCCTGCTCGTGTTCCCCAACAACTGGTGT